CCCCAAAACCCCAAAACCCCATTTGGCGATTCTATTCCAATTAAAAAGGATAATTAATTTGACATTATATAAAATGATAACCAACAAACCAATAAATTACACTGGCTACAGGAAAGACTTTTAGAATTTCTAAGTTTAATAACAACAAGACCTTGCTCCAGCTGTTGTCTAGTAGTAATATTAAAGAGAGGATAGCGACTATTTAAGAAGACTATAATAAAACGACGCATCTGTGATACCTCAGAAATACTCATAGATTATGAAATCTCAAAGAATGATAAGGGATATGATGCCTGAATAGCCGAAATTTATAAGAGATAATATGGCGATTAACGATATTAATGGAGACAAAAGGCAAAGTGTATACAAAACAGTTGCAAGAGATATACTGAGTACAAAGGACATTGATGGTAGTCATCCTAAAAACTAACAAGTAAGTTAATTTGTGCAATATTAATGTATCTATAGTTTCTGAATAAAAACTATGACACTTTAGATTACACAGACGTTAGCAAAAGAAGGTAAACCAATTTTGGGCAAAGAAACCCTTTAGATCCTGTCTATTTTTTGATAAATCAAGACGGCTAAAAAGTATCATATGGCTAAATAGAAGGCAGTAAGCCTAAGGTGGTGAGTTTGAATGATATCAATTCTATATTAAATCGAAGAATAGAACCAACATCTGTTATCATGAATAAATTCGAGCAGGCTTCATAAAACTTAGACTAAGGATCGAGCTACAAGCAAAGGTTCAATGTTTATGGAAAGGAAATAGCTCCGAGAGATGCTTTGAAAACTGATGATATTGAGGGAGCCTAGCCTAAACAAAACAGAAATTTGACATTTAAACACTCGACTAGATAGAGTGATCCATTAAACCCTAACTATATTTACCCTGGGTTCAATGATGTGCAATAATATATAGAATAGTAATAGTAGTTGAAAAATAATAATGAACTCAGGAAAAACCAAAGCATGCAAAATTTGAATTCTAAAGATATGATGTAAAATTAGAATCAATTGGATAACCAGACTTTTCATGGAAAATTGACAAGAAATGAATCTATGCCTAATATAAATAATAATCATAATTACAGCAGGACTTAGCTTTTCCAAGGAGAGAACAATAGAGTGCTTTTGTGATATTATTCTATTTTATTTATTATTTTAATTGTGTTATATTCATGGTTTGGGGTTTTGGGGTTTTGGGG